GACGACGGCCAACAACAACGGAAAGGTGGAGAGGATTATTTTTGGGCGTTGCGCGTTCGGTCCGCCGTAGTTCGGGAGGGACGAGAGGGAGAATAACGGTGGTTTATTCCCGTTGTAAAATGCAGCGGGAATGTTTCCCTCTATGCGAAAATAGTGGGTCGTAAGACTACCATGGGTGGATGGCGAAGCGTCCAGGGGTGAGCGCGCGGCGGCGGCCTGTGTCGGGCGAGGTCGGAAAGTAGCGTGGCGCAGCGCGGCGCGGCGCGTCGCGTCGCATCGCGTCGCGCTACACCGTTGCGACATATGCCGTATACGGGCGCCGCTCTACTCGTACATCAACAACGTGATTCCCATGCATACTGCTCACAATCTCGCCGCTTGCGCGGGAGTCCGGAAATGCATATGCATACACGCGTGACCCCGGGTTGCGCGTGCATATACACGCGACCCCCGTGTCTTCCCTCGGGGGACAGGTGTGTAGATCGTCCGGACGCGCGCCCTCCCGGCTGTCTCGTACGTTCGAGCGCACGAGCCTAAATTCATGTTCGAGGTCGCGCGACGTCACACCGCGTGTCATTCAGCCGGCTGACGCGAAAGGACTTTGTACGTGAGCATTTTCGGATACGCCGCGAGTGATGTGATGAGTGATGTATGTGTTCGCGTTGGTACGATGCGCACACAGAAAGACAAGATCTCACTGTCGCGGCTAATCATGCTTTGCTGCAAAAGTATTTGTTGCTGTAATTAAAAATTTGCTAATGTGATTGAAACTTTTACTGCTGTTGCTGCTATAGCTATAGCTTTTAGATGTCCATATGTTACAACGTGATTTAGTTGCCACACGCAGATTCTTGTTGCTGCAGCTAACTTCATTACTCGTGTAACACACACATGCGCGCACGCACACTCTGCATTATAATAATATATATATATATATATATATATATATATATATATATATATGATTTAACTAATAAAATGCCACAAACATGCATATGGGATTCTCTCGATATAATTTGTTAAAACAATTATCACTAGAGTTAAAATAATTATCTCTGGGAGAATTTTCTTTATTTTTCTCTTGCTCCGATTATGTATAATTGGAACATTACAGATTCCCGATAATCTTTAAAAGTTTTCAAAGAACTCGTTCAATTATGTTCCATTAATTAAGTCTTTATTAATATATAGTCCGTGCTTTTCTTGAAGTTCAATGGACGGTGACAATCTTCTCGATTCGCGCGAAGGTGCCTGTAATTTTGATACCGTTGTCCATCCGACCGTCCTGGGCGGCGTCTTAAATTGCGTCTAGTTGATTTCTGATAGGGTACGCGAGACATGGAATGAGGAATGTATGCGACGACGAGAATGAGAACACACGGACGACATGTATATACGTGCATGTATGTGTGTGGAGGGAAAAGGTAAAAGTTAGACAGGTAAACTTCAGATTGGTTGCTCACCACGGTCTCCCTATAGGAATTCCTGATACATCTCCGGTTTCCCGTCAAACTTCTCGACTCCGTTTGGTTTTGCTCGCGCAACGAATCCCTTTGCTTTCTCCTTCTCTCTGTCTCTCTCTCTTTTTCTCTGCATCTCTGATTTCTTTCGCGCACACATGCTCACCTACGTTACCTTGTCGCCTCACTGGTAGTAATTTTGCCGGGCGTGTCGTACGACTCGCAGTAAACCACGTACCAACGATGGGGGTCTCGTGTTCAAAGTGCCTGCTTGTAATTGCACGCGGCCGTTTGCGGGCGCACAAGAGGCGCGCACGCGCGCCCTCAGGATACGAAATACAGAGGACATCCCGCCGAAATACCCGTGAAACGTAGCGTTAATCTCATTGCCGTTCAATCGCACTGGTCGCGATACAAAGCGCTCGGAGTCTTTTAATCTCGATGTACAGGTTATTCGCTATGTACGACTACGTATGACGCGTCATTGCATTGATTTCGGAAAATTTCCCCCCGGTAAATCACCTGGCGACCAAAACAACTGTGTTTTTGTTTCTAGTCACACTCGCGTTCCACGAACGAATTACGCGTTATTCGGAGTCATTTTTCTCTCTCCCGTTAGATTTTGGAATAATATTCCAGCTAACATTAGAAAATTTAGGTGCGTTAATGTTTTTAGAGCCTGAATGTATGAGTACTTGTTATCCAAATTATAAGCTAATTATAGTACATTTTTCTTTTTTTTATATATTTATATTATATGAGGAGTTATTTTCTTCTTTATTATTGAGGTCTTTTATACATATTTATTGTAAGGTATATATTATTATTGATAAGATATTTATTGTGATACAATGTCTGAGGGGACTATGTTCTAGGGCGCATAACAAACGAACTTTTCTTTCTCTCTCTCTCTTCATCACTTTCGTTCTATATTAAATTGTCATGAAACGAACGTCGTGATTACGAAAACGGAGCGCCGCGTAGCCACGGACGAATATACGACGATATTTCTTATTTGTTGGTAATACATTTATTTTTGATGAGTAAGTTTCGCAGCATGTATCAACGTTCGCGGTGTGACGTGAGTCGCGTAATTAGTACGTAGTTTAAGTTACAAGTCAAAACTTACTTCCATACACGCACGCATATTGTCTGCCGCGAAGATCGATGGTGTTATTTGCGGGTAATTTCACGAGACGGTGCCGTCACGAACGGAGGATAACGTGCGACGAACGGAGGTCGCCAAAGAGAGCATTGCATTTGTACATAAAAGAATCTGCATATCCGTACATCTTACGTCCGAACACATTCTCCCTTTGATTCAAGCTAAATTTCTTTCTTTCTCTTTGAGTTGCCCCCGTCGGCGAGCATATATGCGCGCCCCGGGTTAAAAGCGCAGAGACAGAAAGAGTTCACCACAAATATCCCCTTTTTACATCGCGTAGGAAGCGCGCGCCGGTGAAGATGGAAGAGCAAAGAGAGGAGAGCAGAGAGGGAGAGAGAAAGAGATAGTCCGCGTGCGGGGATGGCGGCGACATCGCGAGTCGCACGAAAGAAAGCAACTCTCAAAGGACGCGCGCTACAAGCCAGCCTCAAAGGATGTATCCGGTGTATACCAACCGCAAGGGAGACCGCTGGTAACTCGATAAATAAAGAAAGAAAAATGAATAAAAATCGGGACGAGTTGACTGCGCGTCCATGTTTCTGCCGTCCAAAAAATCCCGGCCAAACGTCACCCTTGGTCGTTTCGAGTTGCTTTGACGCGCGGCAGGAGGGTGACGGCTGTTTCTCTGTTCCCGACGTAGCGAGCTCCGCTTCGTGGTGGAAAAAGGTAGAAAAGTGGTTGGTAATGACGAGGTACACAATGGCGGATAGTTAACGCGTAGATGCGTCGTCGGTCGCTCGCTGCTATAACAATGTGCGCGTGTTGTCCGAGTGACACAGATTGAATAGGAGCGACAAGGTTGGCGCGGAACGCTGAATCGTGAACGCGAAAGAAGGTGACGGACAGACGGACGGGGCGCGGGGCCAGTCAGTGGCCTTCATTTGGGTGCAAATGGAGTTTTTTTCTCAAATGGACGTTTCAAAAGTTTGTCGCTGTTAGGTATTGTTTGAACGCCGGTTCCAGCAGAACGCGGGAGCGAGAAAGTGACGCGGAGTTCTGCCGCCAAGGCTTTGATTAGCTAGCACCACGAGGCCAAAAGGCTTCTCCCCAATTGTTCGTCTCGTATTTATAGTTGGTTCGCTCGTTCTCCTCGTGGCAATTGTCTCACCCCGTTATTTCTGCCTTTTCCCTGTATTTTTTCATTGCTCTTCCTTCTCGTTTTATTCTCTTCCTTTCTTTCTCTCCTCTTCCATACTTCTCTCTCTCTCTCTCTCTCTCTCTCTCTCTTTCTCTCTTTCGTTCTTTCTTTTCTGGTATTGGCATAGTATCACTCTGCGAAAAGCATAATAAGAAAGCACTCGTTCTTCTCATTTCTTGATCGCGATCCGGACTCACTTCCCGTCGTATTTTTCCCCGTGTTTTGCATCCAGGCAAAGGGATGCTGTTGGTCTGGCCCCGTTGGATGGTTGATGGTAGATAAGTCACATCGCCCGTTGCTTGCTGAAGCGCTTATCTTCGTAACGCCACACTTGAGACGCGGCAAATGCGATTAATCGTGCACTTATCGTTCCGTATCGCGCGCTGTAAATCTATATGAAAACCACGTCCGAGTGAGAAAATCTTAGCGCGCTTGTCTCCTCGCGAGTGAACTCGACAGCCCGATACGCCGAGAGACTCGTGACGACACTATTATGTACTTACTTTGCGTTTCATTTGTTCGCCTGAGACGGTACACCACATACACCTCGGATACACGAGAATCCGAGGGTGAGCGAGGTAAATTTCCGTGGTCGGACGCGTATACGCCGTTACGTGATCGAAAAACGAGGGACGGGCACTAAAAGGAAAAGCAACGATTTCCAGTTGCTTTACGACAGTAATTAAGCGCGACTTCGCCCCGGGAACCGCAACTAATGCTCCCCTCTGTTCGATCCCGAAGCCTCATTTGCCCGCACGTTCAATGACGCTGTGCCACTTTGATCTCGGGTCTAACGCTTGCGGAAGTGCGATCGCTCAATCTATTATCGGCAGCATTTATTCGCCGTCTAATTGTCGATTCGTTAGAATTCGACTATCAAATAGGCATAAAACGAATTTCTACACGCTGGATGAAAGAAAAGTAAATAAATAATATATGTTTTTCCTAATTGCTCTAATTTTTTCATCACTTTATTATTCATTACAATATCACTTTTTTTGCGCGTTATCCTCTTATCTTATCTCAATCTTTGTCCCTGCTCTACTAGAAACACAGTAAAACTGAAAATAATTGATATGAGAAAAAATTGTAATATAAATTAATATAATGTAATATAAATCATAAAACAGTAATAATACGTTTTGCGATTCTTCAATTTTCATCGCACTCAATCGGATCCAAGTCGCTTTGTCATCAAACACGCGATCGCACGCGAATTAATTGATTTCTATTGCAGTTCCCAAGGTGGAAATAGTCGATGAGCATGGCGCTACGGCCGGTGACAAGTTCTACAAAGCAGGCAGCACAATAGAGCTGAAGTGTGTAGTCAGCAATATACCGCAACCAACCGGCTACGTTACGTGGCGGCACGGAACCCGTACGCTGAACTACGACACGACTCGCGGTGGCATCAGGTAAGCTACATAATAGACGCGTATGCGCGATATTTCGCCATCGATGGATCTTAACTGTCGCGATAATAGACGATACGCGCCGGGGTATCGCTAGTTATCGGCGGCGGAGAGTCCCCGAAGGAGCTTCCCCGGCGGCGTATCGTCCTCGGTTATGCACTTGCTACCTTCTTGTGTATACTCGGCTTGTTAGGGTAATGCATACTTAATGAGGTAACATCGCTTATTTGGCCTATCGTTATGCGAAACAACAAGCGTGCCGTCGAGACGCGGCTTACGGTGAGCAGGGTGTTACATTATAGCTGACAATTAGTTGGCAAGCTTTCCTGCGGCCGACATCGGGATCATCGTTAACAAATGAGTCGTCTTCTTATTGCTTATCGCGTGTTTGTATCACGTTCTTTTGTAACTTTTCCGAGTGAAATTCCAGACGGAGAGAATTTTATAGTAAAAATTATTATAATAATTGACTCTCACACACACATTTTTCATATGCGCTATTAGTATCCCAGGAACTAAAATGTGCTATTAAAAAATTTGTTAAATTTTTAGCGAAAATGACGTGTTTCTTAGCGAGACGGTCTATTTCTGCGCTACTAGAAACATCGTAAAATTGAAATGAATTTCTATGAAAAAGAAAAACTATGATATTTTCTCCGTGCACTTGAAAAACAAAGTGACAGCCGAGTCACTCGAAGTCAAGTGATTTTTTATTTGTATGGAGCGAATTCTATCGTTCTGAATCGTTCTGAATCGTCGAGTGAGCTTTTCTACTCGAAATTGAGGAATCAGATATATCCCATCGTTTCACTGGGACAAATTCTCTCCAATCGACTGAAACATCCACTCGTATGAATTAAGTATCCACTCTGAGTTTATTTCAAACACTTATTTCTAATGATCCCGAAGTGGCGGTACCTTCATCATTGCTTTGAGTGAATTCCCGCACTTTTTAAGTGAGATTCCTCACTTCAAGAGATTTATAGAGTACTCTCTAAATTTCTTAGATTGAAATTGCATCCGGCAAGCAGAGCGACGGCAGAGTCACTCGAGTGACTTTTTATTCATATAAATTTACCACTCCGTGAATCGTTGATTGAATATTTTCACTCGAAATCAAAGGATGAATCTGATATACTCCGTGTCCGATGTTCACTGGAACGCACTCGCTCGGCAATCGGCTGAAATATGCGCTCGTAGGAATTAAGAATCCATCGTTAATCTGATTTAAATGTTCACACTCGCGATTCCGCGAAGTGGCAGTATCTTCGCTGGCGCTTCGTTCTCGCGAATTTTCGTTCTCGCTTTCAGCGAGATTTTGCTCCAAGAAATTTACGGTACGAATATGTGGGTCACCGTTTAATATCAAAATTTTACACACGCCACTGTCCGCGTGGTCCAGCCAGTTGCGCGACCCGCGTGCGCGCATCTTGGAGGACATTTAGCTGGAAGATACCTCGACCAAGCCCTCATTGAACCTCTGCAATCCACCTACCACACACACACACACACACACACACACACACACACACACACACACACACACACACACACACACACACACACACACACACACACACACACACACACACACACACACACACACACACACACACACACACACACACACACACACACACACACACACACACACACACACACACACACACACACACACACACACACACACACACACACACACACACACACACACACACACACACACACACACACACACACACACACACACACACACACACACACACACACACACACACACACACACACACACACACACACACACACACACACACACACACACACACACACACACACACACACACACACACACACACACACACACACACACACACACACACACACACACACACACACACACACACACACACACACACACACACACACACACACACACACACACACACACACACACACACACACACACACACACACACACACACACACACACACACACACACACACACACACACACACACACACACACACACACACACACACACACACACACATACACTCCGCATTCCTGTCGTTGTTGCAAAGAAAACTGGAACGAGCGGGGTATTATTTTTCCGTGCCGGGGTTATACGCCCGTTTTTTGCTGCCATTCTCTCGTGCGCCACTAAAATCAATCGTCATCATCGAACGTGACCGCGCGCTACGGTCAGCGGTTAACTAACATCCCGGTAATTTCGACCGCCGAGTGCATTCGATAGTTTATGCAGGCCGCATAGGAATTCTAATTGCCTCGATAAAGAACGGCACGTCCGGTGAATTTTGAAAGGCTTTCATCAAAGTTCTCGGGCAGGACCGCCGGCCGGCGGTCTGTGGCGGCTTCTGTGCGGCGTGTGTGACCTAATTGGTTATAGATATGACGGAATTCATGAATTTCAAACGGCACTTCCGCCGCCGTTTGATTCTGTCGGTTTCGTAGAGCGATTTTTCAATCAGCGATCCATCGATAAATCAATTTCGAATTTTCCTCAGACATAGCGTACATGCCGCCCCGCACCACCCCGATACGAAAACTGCATGTCGTTATAACTGTGCGTTTCAAGGATTGCAAATATCGATAGTCGGCGCGCATTCACAACGATCACATTGACCCTTGCGGATCGGGTTAGCACTTGAGGGGTTAGTTTCCCGCTAGTTTCGAAATAATATCGACGACCGGGAAAATTATCGATATCGAGTGTGGAGGTCGAAAGAAAGGCCGCATACGCGCGATATCGGGCGAACAACTGTTGACAATTTAATCACTCTCGAAAATGCTCGATTATCGCGACTTGACATATGATGAACGAGCCCGCTGCTGCCGCCGTCACCACCGCTACCACCATCGCTGCCGCCACCGATGCCAAACGCAGGCGCGCGGCGCGCTTTGAATAAAACATACAAAACTTTCGAACCAGCCCGTCGGATTAAAGGCCAGTTAACGCGAATTAGCCGCGCTTGCAGTTCGGGGCCGTGATTAACGCGACCAGTCCGATTTCATTTGGATGCTGATCGACGGAGAGGGAGAGAGCGAGATGACAAAGACGAAAGAAAGTGTGCAAAAGGCAGGCCGATTGAAATCGCGCACTGATGACGTTCGCGTTCCCGATAAATTTCGCGGAAAACGTCACACATCGCGACGGCACCTTCACGAAAGATTACGCTTATAAATTATAATTGTCGGCCGCGTGACGTTACGTAACATGCTGGTGGCAGATCGAGGAAACAGCCGTTTTTATCCGCTCACACCGGACGACGCGGACATTACGTAGGAGGTGGCGGGACAGCGCGTAGGGTGTGCGTAATTTATCGGGAACATTCTATTACACTTTGATTGCTCCCGAGAGGCGTTTTGCGAGATCGTTTAACCGAACGTGTCAAACGCAGCGCTGCAAATAAACGACGTTCGATCGCGCCCCGTCGTTGCCGTCGCCGTCGTCGTTGTCGTCGTCGTTGTAGTCGTCTATTGTGATTACTGGCTCGATGGATCTTATCGTACCTTTATGCATCGCTTTCTCTCGCTCGATCGACCATTGTGAAAAGGTCGCGCGCGTCGTATCTCGCGCAATTCGCGCCGGCTATCATGGCCTATATTAATAGTCATTATTTGGAACTTGTCTCTTGTGAGAGATACTCCGGTCTAAATTTGTAGTCAGATTTCAGGCTTTCAACTAGGTCATACCTGATATCCGTAACTATCATGATCTAATTAACAAGTTCACATTCAACTCTAAGGAACGTATCGAATATACTGAGAGAGAAAAAACATCTGAAAGATATCTACTCGGTAGGTACTAATATGTTTACTTAAATCTAAATTTTTAATTTAAATAAATCACCCCTTTTTATGAAAAGTTAAAGTTTCAAGAAAATGTGTATTTTCTTACTTGACAAATTTTTTTATCAATGCAAAAATATATATATTAGTAAATATGTTGTTAGTACCTACTGCGAATAAATGCATTAACCTCTTAGGTACTGTACGCCACTATAGTGGTTTTTGCGTATATCTTTCTGAACGGTACGCCACTATAGTGGCTCATTCTTATTTCTAATAAATTATAATTTATTTAAACGAAATAATAGAAAGCTCCTTGAATAGATTAACTAATAGTGAGATATTAAACGGCACATAAGGAGCAAGTACAGATGTCTTAGTGCTATTAAATACTAA